AAATTCAAACTTGGCGCCAATTAGCTTCTCACGGATTGGTGCCACTTTAGATGCATCCACACCTATAAATGAATGCCTTAAGCCTTGTACATACACTTTTGAATATATTGAATTTTCTGAATCATTATTCAGCTAAATTCTCAAGAGTCACCGAGAAAGAGAAAGAGAAAGAGTGCCTTCAAAACCCTAGGAACTCACCTAGCTTCCTACCTTTTGAAGTGAGCAATCTCTTGTTGCTTAAGCTTGGATGCTTCCTTCCATGGCTTAGGCCATTCCATCCAAAGAAATCCTTCCTTCTAAGTGTTCATTCATTCGGTCCTCCATCTCCAAAGAAAAGATTCGTGCATTGGTGAAGCTAAGGAGAGGAACATTTATCACTTCTTCTTCCTTTGCCATCATTTTTGGTATCAAGAGCAAGGTTCTTCTTGGAGATAAGTTTTCTTGTGTTTGAACCATTTGTTTTGTGTCTTTGCTGTTCTTGTTTGTCTTACTTTGAGTTTTTATTCGGATCTATTTGTTTTGAATTCAAATTGTTCCATAGATCTATTTATTGATTGTATTTTGATTTTCTTTCACAATCAATATGTTTAGGACCTATTTGCTTGTGCTTTTTTTTTGTTTTTGTTTGAGTCTCTCATTTCTTAGCATGTGTCCGTGATTGGACTTCATCCATTGCATTAGATTTTTGTTTTTGAATCCTTGTTTTGTCTTAGCAAGTCATGTTTAGTTCTTATATGTTGCAAATTCCTTGAATAGCTTGATTAACCTAGTTTTTCTTTTGTGTTGTTTGTCTACTATTTGGTCTCGGTTTTGTTATAATCTTTGTGCCTACCTATATGTGCTTTTTGTTTTACCTAATTGAGTTCATAATTTGCTATTAGTTCTAGCAAATTTCTTTAGTGTTAGGTTTCCATTGTGTACTTAATTTTTCAAATCACTTTCTATAAAATTCTTGAAACAACTTTGTGTTACTTGAAATTTTAAGTGAATTATCCTACTTTTAGTGCACTATTTCTTTTGGATTCAAATTTAAAAAGTTTAGTGGCTGGAAAACAGAGAAAATATAGAGCATTATGTTTCAAAATAGTTATAAAAAAAAGGAACAAAAGAATCCAATCAAAAACCTAAAAACTAGTGCACTAGTTCATTCATTTTCACTTGAAATTTGTCAATCTAGTAATCTCGGTTTCTTTACATTGGAATTGTGAAAATTTTGAAAACAAAAAGGCAAGTGTCTTCTCTGGAATATACAAGTGAATTGAGAAAAAAAGAAAAGAATAAAAATATATATATATAAAGCATTTTTAAGAGCAAAAGCCGTGAAGAACAAAACAAGAAAATACACTTGATTCCACCAATTTCTTTGGACTACTATTTTGTTTGTTCTTGTTCAATTACTTCCAATTTTTTTTGTTGTTGTTAATCTACTCTAGTGCCTATCTAGGAACCTTCCTAACTGAGTGCTAGCCTTTCTTTGGAGTCTTATTTTTCAGTTTTCATTGTTGGATATCTTTGAGTTTTGTCATAAACACCTTACTCTTCAATTTTTGGTATAAGCTTTATAAATTGTGATTTTGTTGCTTGTCTTTTTTTCTTTGCTTAAAAATTCTGTGCTGGAAGTGGCCTCAAATCCTTGCTTAAGGATCAAACATTGACTCAACAAAAAGTAGGAAAGAATTGGTTACAAACTACTTTGAAATTTGACCTAATTTAGTGACCAAAACTTTCCTAAACTACCTTCACAAGAGTGATCACTTCCTTAACCTCGTGAGCAGCCTACATTCATAATTTTGTTTTGTTCATTGTGCAGGGTCCAGGAGCAACTCAAATCAAGGGTTAGTGGCGGATTGGAACACTTAAACAAGTGTTGGAAAATTTGGACAGCAAATCCATCACTAATTTGGTCACTAAAGCTGCCACAATTTGCTTCCTAGTGTAGTTTAATTTTTTGCAATTTCTCTTGTATTTTTAATCAATTTGTAAA